AGTGGATGTGAAAGTGAAAGCGAATTGATTCAAACACCTCGTAGCAATGCCGCCCCTCCTGGGATGGACTCGAAGGTCGACCAAAATAAACTCTGCCAAGTAAACAAAGTTGCAAAGTTACCGGCACTGCCTGCCACACCTTCCGGGATGGTCTTCTCGACATTTTGCAGACCGTTACGACTGAAATACATTTATTTAATGGGAAGTCAAAAGCTTCACTGCTTCACGACAAGCATAATATCAGCTTACCTTGTCGAAGGCGCTCCTTATTCCTCTCGTTTTCAAAGTTACGATTAGGCGTCAATTTAAATATTTTGCGTGCACTTGATATTGTGACCACACTCGATTTGACGTCTAGTTAGCAATGTGATTTGTGGTTTTATACATCATTTTCGTTTTCATTTATTTTCACAACATAATGAATGTTTGCACATGATCTCTCATTTTGTACACATTCCAGTCGACAAAACCCGTGTCCTCAAATTTGATGGTACACTGTATTAAGCCGAGGGCGGACATGTAATGAGGGGGAACATGAACTTCGCGTCCAGAATTCTTAGAAAAAAATGTATTGGAGGAATACAGACGTACATTTGATAACCCATCTGCCAAATACATAGCCTTAACTTAGTGATGTAGCGTTGCTGTTGCTGCTGGTGACGTTACGACCAATTTATCGCTTCTTGAAGTTTTTTTTTATTTAGCAGTGGATATCGCTTCTGAGTTTTCCTATGGCTCCTATAGTTCCTCAAACCGGATATGTAGTCATCTTACAGAAGATACCCTCTAATTAGGCGCCATTTCCTCCTTTTCCACTCATTTGGATCTCCTGCATTATGTCTCGAAGCGGAAGGCCGCTGAACATTAGTGCTCTTATATACTGATTATTCACTTTCGTACCCGAAGTTATCTACGGAACGTAAGTCTGTAGTTTTGCGCAACATCACTACCCATTATTTTTGAATTTCTGCGCTTATACGTGTGCTGGCCACAAAAATCTTGGTGCTAACTTAGGCCGACGTCATACTTTGCGAATCGAGCGAATCGCTAGCGAATCGCTCGAGTCGAGCGAATCGCTAGCGAATCGCTCGAATCGCTAGCGAATCGAGCGAATCGCTAGCGAATCGCTCGAGTCGAGCGAATCGCTAGCGAATCGAACGATGCACCAGCGATTCGAACTGGGTACCAGCGAATCGAACTAGGTACCAGCGAATCTTGCATAAAGCTTGAAACTAGGGTGTTAGGCTAGGTTTTGAGTGAGTGTGTGGTTGCCGCCGGACAAAGAGCCTTTGGTGAGGCCACACAACCTCCGAATTTCGCGTTTTACTCCCCTATTTCGTCCACTATAGGTACTCGTTGACTGGTTTATACAAGGAGTAATTAAATTATTCGATCATGTCAGTCAATATCTAACACCGTTGGGCTTCATTCAAATTCAAATGGACTACAGTGCCGCGGCAGTAATCTTTGTACATCGGCGTCTTTGATTGATCTTAATTGATAGAGGATACAGGAAAGCTCACTGATAAGGACTTTTTCATATGATGAGGGGCATCTCGGAAATGTTTGCCTTCAAGTATCTGCGCCAAAAAATAGAAACTTGACGGCCAAGTTCAGGTTCCTATCATGTAGTTCAGAAACTCCACTGCGTATCATGAGCAAACCGTCCTTTCCTAGCGAAAAATGCCCAAATTAGCCTACCGTCTTTTTTTTTCGCTCGAGTGCCAACTCGTTCAACGCTTAAAACTTACAATGTTCTCTCTGTGTTTGCATTAATGAGACCTTCCATGAACATTCTCAGTTTTCCTTCTGACATCCCCTCTGAATGGAAACCGTCCATTTCACACAGTTCAAACTTTTACAGCTATTGTGGGGACTGATCGCAACTATAATCATTTATGGGGTACGTCAAATTCTTGAAAGCTTCACATGAGTCTTATGCTTATTACCATTGAATGTTGCTACGTACGCTCCCAACTAGTCGCACCAGCGAGGGGAGAGGGATTGGGCGAGGTCACTTCACGGAGTTGAATGCTTTGACAGCATAATGCAAGCACGTTAGGAACTGGAGCGATGCTTCACCAACAAATGACATTCCATCAACTGCCTCCCACAAAAGCTTTGTTTGACTGTGTTATGACAAACATACACCATGCCACATCTCATATTTGACTTTTTTAAGAACCAAGTTCCGCTATCAAGACTACATCACGGGTAAATCGCTATATACGAAGCAACACCACACTAACTCTACGTTTTGGCCAAACGCTTTCAACACATTTTAGGGTCGACCGAGTCCGAAGCACACTGTAGCTTGAACATGAGCGCAATCGAAAGCACTTAAGTTACAGTTCATGCTATTGGCCGCAGATACTACTTGTTTTTCATAATATCTCACACAAAAAAAATTCGAATATTAGACTGTCGAAAATTGGTGCTCAAAGCAACACCTCCAGATCGATTTGGCGAGGTAAAAGCGGTCGATAATGAAAATGCGGATGCCGAGTTTACTGCAAATGAGAAAAGAAACAAAGAAAATCGCCGATGAAGCCCTCAAACGAAGACTCCCCCTCTTCCACTTCAGGCCGATGTCTTTGCAAATGAGCGATTCGCTGGCGAAGGAGAGGTGTGGCCAGACGAGCTGTCCGAAATAGTTTGCTTTGCCGGCATTTATTGCTGGTTCCTTCCAGCAAGAAATGCATATCAAGAATCGCATATGCACCAATGCAAACCAAGACACCTGCTGGGCTAGCGATTGGGTGGATCAGACGAAAAGGCTGACGTGTTGGCACATATCCTAGTCCTTTACAGCGTCTTACCGACCTTTTTTTTCTTGGGGTCTTTCTATGTTCTCAACAAGGCCTCACGCATCATGTTATTTCATCAATACTAATACTAATACAAAAGTACAAGCTAAGAACACTGCTGTAAAGCGGACAACCTCAAACAATACGAATTTTTACAAATCACTCGCTAACATCTAAATAGTTTGCATTACTAAGGCTAAGCTCTAATGATTCATCTATTTCAGCTCTTGTTGATACCCTACACGAAGTCTTCCCTAACAGATTGGGCAGGCAGCCAAGAACGAGCCCAAAGTACTATTCATTTTCCTTCATCATCCAGTTCTTGAGCACACATGCAACTATCTACAGACCCGACCAACTTCTGTAGAACCCCGAAGGCGGCTATAACCCCTATACACGATCTTATTATTAGTCATGGTTGAAAAAGCGCTTTTTATCAAAATTTAGACAGACCATTAGACCAGTTCATGTGTAGTCCTTTACAATACTACATTATTACGACCCTAGCGGGAGAAGGAGCAAGTAGTAAAAAAGCCACCACGTGACGTGACGCCGCTGCGGATTTGCGAAACAGCTTTTTCCATCGAATTGTGATGGTAACGACTCCAAAAATGAAGTTATATTCGTAATGATAACCGCTATGACTCGTATTGGATAAGTTTTAAGGCGATACTGCTGCTCTTCGTGAGATAGCATTGCCGCAGCAATATCGAATCTGCTGATCCAATAACCCCCTCAAAACTGCATAGCATTGCCGAAATTTTGCTGTGCCTAACACCCTAGTTTCAAGCTTTATGCAAGATTCGCTGGTACCTAGTTCGATTCGCTGGCACCTAGTTCGAATCGCTGGTGCATCGTTCGATTCGCTAGCGATTCGCTCGACTCGAGCGATTCGCTAGCGATTCGCTCGATTCGCTAGCGATTCGAGCGATTCGCTAGCGATTCGCTCGACTCGAGCGATTCGCTAGCGATTCGCTCGATTCGCAAAGTATGACGTCGGCCTTAGTTGGGGGGGGGGACGCGGCGGCGCGGCAGTCTGCTCGCCTGGCATGTTCGGAAATCCGTGGGCCAGGGGGAGTGTAGCCAGTCTAGGGGGTGGGGGTGGGGGCAGTCACTTGACATGCGTGAAAAGCTGGAATGTTCGAGTTTACACTGTCTCGCTCGAGAGAGCCCAGGTGAGCAGACTGCCGCGCCGCCGCGTGGCCCCCCCCAACTAAGTTAGCACCCAAAATTTAGCCAAGATGTTTCGGACCGTTCCTTGTTCTGCCATATTACTTGCCAGTTGTTACACTATCGCTTCGCATTATGGCTTGTCCGGACCATTAGAGGCACCCTCCTATGGCCTTTGACTGCCGCCGTTTCTTCGTATTCAAGGATACAGTTCATATATTAGCTCGCCATGTAGTGAGTTTGTATAAAAAGGTTTTTGCTGATTTCAGGCAGGCGACTAACTCGAGACTGTGCCATAATTTTGCTAGTAATGTTATCGTACTACAGTTGATTATTGACCATGTTAATGGCATTAAACGTCCCGGTACTTACTATCGTACTACTGCTCATCACATCCGAAGCTAGCGCTCAAGATTATGTGGTAAGAATTTCTGAATCTTTCAAATAAAAAATTTCTATAGAGGACATAAAAACGCCGTAAAATTTCCATTGCAGGAAGAAGAACTGTGCGATATTGAGACCAAGTCTCCTTGTTCTGCCAAAGAACATGAGGAATGTCGACCTCAGAATGCATCAGACAAGGTGGTTGTTTTGCATTTTTATTCACAAGAAGGGTGACAATAGGTCATTGCTGGCGAACCATTTCACCAGCTCCATGTAGAGCGAGCGTCACGTTTATACTCGATTGTCAACAAGCCTAAACCAGAGTTGAAATTTGACCCAGCATGTTTACTAAAAAATTTTTATCCCTTTAGCATTTCTCTTGTTTCATTATTATGTCAATTTTGGAGTTTAGATAGGTGTATGTAAGTGTATTTCTGGATTCGCTCGTGCTTTCAATGGTGCTCCTTGTCTTCCTTTGAATACATCTTCGAGTGAAACAACAAACAGCACATCAAATGGGACAAAAGGAGTTTCCAAGATGGTAGCTAAGCTTTGCCGAATTCACTTATTCTCTTAAGAAAAATCGTTTCTTCAAATTCTGAATTCCGACATGCTTTCAGATTCCTCTGGAATTTACACTTGAAGGTCCCTTCGGTGGTTCAGTTGCCGGTAGATTCGGCTCAGGTTAAAGTAAAGTTTCCTGATAAAGAGCAAGGAAAAGGTAAGGTGAAGTGGAGCTCTTATTGTTCTTTTCTTGCAATCAATGTGTTTCTTAGCTTGCAATGTTGTCCAGGGGCCGGATTAAATCCTCTCCCAAGGGGTTGGGGACGAGAAATCCCTTTAAATTTATTTGTTTTTAACGATAGTTTCTTCATGTGCATGTTTACTTTGACCTACGTACAGATACATTAAATGCAGGCCCTTTTATCAGGACAATCCCAGATGGGTAGGCAGAGGAAATTTAACACGTTGACGAAAGGCTAACGCGCATGCGCGTCAGAAATTTGGCACCGCCTGACATTCTTAACGCGCATGCGCATCAGCCTGTCGTCAACGTGTTAAAGGCATTTTCGTCCCTCAATCCCTCGGGGTAAGATTGAATTCGGCCCCAGATGGAGACTTCATATTTTTAGGCGACACTTTTTCTTATTTATGGGAGTTGTTGCAAGGTACTGGTTTGGCTTTCGCTTCATCTTATAAGCGTCCAATATTGGAATTATCCCAGGTGCTGTTTTGTTTGAGCTTACTTTTTTTTTAAAATCAGAACTGTTTTTGGTCGCTCTTTTTCAAGTTACGCTTTCGTTGGAGCTAAACACACAGGTGTTTCTTATCTGCGAGAGAGTCTCCTTAGGTATTCAAATGTGCGCTACGCCATCGATTGTTTAACTTTCCAGCTGAAAGAAGGAAAACTTCTTTTCCGAGTGACGGTGTCGAATTCAACGCACACTGGACAAAAGCAATATACTTTGACAGTCGAAGCTCCTAAAGCGCCGAATAAACCGCCACGAGCTATTATCCGTCCAGAGTCACCGGTGCATGGTGTGGAAGGCTCGAGACTAACACTAGATGCTGAAGGTGCTTATGCTGAATATGGCTTTTGTTATATGTTTTTCATAATTTTGCTATTTCAGGAAGTGTTGATGACGACAAAATTGTTGCTTTTAAATGGACGCAGGATAAGGGACCCAGTATCCCACTAGGGGCCATGAACACACCGATTCTCACCTTGGACAACATGGTTGCAGGGAGCTACGTGTTCAGGTATGTTGGTTTTACGGGTTCGACGATAAGTTTACAAGATAGCTCGTTTCTCCATAATTTTCTTACATTCCAGTCGGTTTTACGGGTTCCCCGATAATTTTACGAGATTGCTCGTTCCTTCATCATTTTTTTTTACATTCCAACATGTTTTGTTTGCAACACTGACCACATGGTCTTTTGGAATGGCACCGAATGGTTTTCTATAGTACTGTGGTGAAGTACAAACCAAAAAAAACCAACCCAGGAAATCGAGGCCACCTATTTGAGAAGTCTGAGACAATTGTAGCAGTTTGGTGTGACAATCTGAAGTAGGATTACAGAAAAGCTCCAAGGAGACCAGGGAATCATTGATTTCCCGCTTATTTTCCTTTGTGGAGCTGGTAGTTAGGATGGCTATGTGTTCGCGTGAAACATGTGAAGGATTATGACATGATAGTGGACCTACACCAGTAGCCGAACGATGTTCGACGTTGGTCAAATCCTTCGAGTGCGCCACGCATTCTACTTTGCTCAGAATCGTACCATTTGAAGTAGTAGGTCGCGTGAAGAGTCGATGCACATTGTCAGTATTAGTAATTCTAAAATGGATAGAACAATAAGTCAAGCTATTGGACTATTACCTAAAATTAGTTTGCTGGGTGGAGTTTAGGGGCAGCGTAGATAAAGCTTCCGACGAAGGGTTAGGGGACGAAAGTTCCTTTAAATTTTCTCTGTAGTTCCAACTGGGATTGTCTTGATAAAGGGCCTACATCTAATATATGTGTGTAGCTTAAAGTAAGCATGCATTGGAAATAAAGAAGAAACCAGTATCGTTCAAAACAAAAAATTTAAAGGGACTTTCGTCCCCGCAACCAATCGGGGAAGCATACCTTACGGCCCGGATCAAGATGCTGACCTGCGAGACGTGCACGTGGAAACCGTGACTCATTGCTAGTTGCCACCTCCGCTTCCCTTATGCAAGTTCGTGTAAGTAAGCGATTTAAAACCTTGTCGCGAGATATACCTAAGATTTGAGAACGACCATCCTTTCAGTGTACAAAGTAACTGACAGTGGCGGTCTCACATCGTCGGCATCGACTCGAGTCGAAATTGAAGCGGAGCGTGATGATCCGCCAAAAGCCCACATCAATGAATGCGGCAGTAAAGAACATACTGGATCGCTCACTGTGCGTCTTCCGCTGCCTGAACTCAATCTGTGTGGCAACAGTTCAATCGACGATAAGGTATGTTTTTCTTGCAACTTGCATGTATTAGATTTCTGCTTGGATTTGCTCCTTAAAACTCTCGAAGCAATTGAAATATTCTATGGCATGTGTCTCGTTATCCATCCCTCCATTTCATGAGTTTCATTTTTTCTATATTGAACGCTTGAAGGGTAGACAAATTTGATCCAGGGTGATGTGTAAAAGAATCCTGTAAAATAGTAATTCACTTGTTACGCAGTGGTTCGTTAACGTGAAAGAATATGTTTATATGTTATTTCTCTCTAGATTGCAAAATTGGACGGAAAATCATGATCGGAAGTACCATTCCTTGCCCTACGCGTAGAAATCTCATGTATCAAACCTTGAGGAAGCCTTTAATCTGAGAATTCGCTCATTCTATTGTCATGCGATTGTTTTGTTATGAAGAGTTTTTAATGTATTAATTCTATTTGAACGTTCAGGGCATAGTCTCCTACAACTGGTTCCGAGTTGATAAGTTATCTGAAAAGCTCTCCGTTGACACGGCTGGTCGCTGTAAAATTCAGCTTGGACTCTTTATTAAATTGTTAAAAGTTTTTGTTTGACCATGAGTGAAGCCTATTTCATCACTGCAGGCTCAACCACAAGCATCCTCACATTGAAAAAATATCCAAGCGAATATGAGCGATTGGGTCCATACGAGTTCCAGCTGGATGTAACGGATACTAAAGGACAGAAGGATTCTACCCGAATAAGTATCTTTGTGAACAAAGCTGAAAACTTTGCTCCAGGTTGGGACGGAGATTAGACTTTCGAGTTTGACTTCTGTCAAAAAAAAAACAAATTTTAGTCGCTGATGCGGGTGGAAATCACACAGTCATTCTTCCTGAAAATGCTATTGTGCTTGATGGAAATGCCAAGGACGACGGAAGTATTGTCAGCTATAATTGGACTCAAATCGAGTACGCACTCAGTTCACTTTTCTATTTTCTTAAATTTTCACACTCCGTATTTCAGCGGCCCATCTCGTGCATCACTTAGTGAATGCTGATAAAGCGAAAGCTACTGCATCCCGTCTTCAAGAAGGAGTATATCGATTCTTGTTGACAGTGGTTGATGATGGTGGGCTTAACGGTACCGCATCCGCATACATTACTGTGGAACGAAGTGAGTCCATTGCTCAATTCATATTTCTTCAATTCTTTTAGTTGCTACTCGGCATTTCATTTCAGGGTAGATGAGCCGCTGTTGCTCGTGTCGCCAACGTCACGCGATGTCATCTTCGACTTCAGGTAGCCGTTTTGAATGCATCATTTTATTGATGATTGCCTGGTATCGTAGAGCTTCCATGGCAGCGCTTTTGATGATGTACCAGCATCTATAGGTGAGTACAAGATCATAAAGCTCCCGGTTTATTTTCCTTGGTCCTATCTTTGCTCGATAAATTGGCCAAATTCAGATTGCTCTCGATGGGACGGAGAACACCCAGATTATGTTCATAACTGGCCTCGTAAAGGGCACGCATGTTTACAATCTGACTGTTGCCGATCAGCAGAAAGCAAGGAACTCCATACTTGTCTATCTGACAGTTATCGAAGGTGGGTGCTTGTTAGAAGATAGGCTCATAGTAATTTGGTTCTAGAGGGGGATTTTTCTTTAGAATTACAAAAATACCATAAACAGGAAGGACCTTGTAAGGAATTTTGTAAGCCAAAAGCGAAGAGCTCTGTCACGGTTCGTGAAACTGTACTGTAGATCCCAAATACGAAAATATGAAACATTCTACGGTTATACTACACCTGCTTTATTCATCAAAACATGGGCGAGACCATTCCGAGACAAGCAAAGCGATATTTAGGCAATATTAATAATCTTGGCTGGAAGTATCAAACAAAGGAAACTTTTCCTGTGTTTATATTTCGTACTTATTTCTTGAAGCTGTGCTCATTTGTACTCATACAGTGCGTTTTTAAGGTGAGGAAGAGCTGGAATCTGTGGAAATCCTGTTGAAAAAGAGCATAGAAGAGTGGACATATCGCCTTCGGCGAAAACTCGCGGACGAGGAAGCGCAGTCTAGCAGGCTCAATGGAGGTTCGGAAATGTGGAAATTATTTATTTCCGTCCTCTTTTCGTACGCACTGTATTACACTTTGCTAGAATTTGCTTAATTTGGTGTAGACAAATTAAAGTACAACTTTGCATGTGGATCTTTGATTGTGGGGATCACTACACTAAAAACCTTCAGCTTGCAGGTTTCGGTTGGCAATGCTAGTGAAACTCGCATTTTAGCACAATTTCTGCTCTTTTTAACGAACGAATGGGCAATGCCGAAGGGTGCTATCAAAGGGTTCTGATTCTATCAATTTTCAGGAAAGTGACTCGGTGGTTGTACACTTCACTCGATTTGAAAAAATGCCGCTGGATGGCCGGTTACGAGCAGTGTTTTGGGCTAAAAGTCATTCGAAGCAAGGTTAGGCATAATGTCGTGAAGCTTTTTACAATACATGATTTTTTGATTGATTTTATTACATGAGCGCTGTACTCATGATCAAAATCAAAATCAAATCAAAATCAAAAAAGCAAATACCCATCGAGCTATTTTAGTTGGAAGTAAAGATTCTCCTTTTTGAAGGCAGTCAAATAAAAAGTTTTGCTACAGATCAACGAATGCGGCATGAGCGATCAGATTGATCGCGGAATTCTGAGCTATGTAGCGTGAAGCGTGCTTGTGTCTATATTACGTCTTAGGAAACGAACAATGCGGCAGATTTGCAAATCGCTGTTTACAAACTGGTGTTGAGTATTGTGAGCACTTGCTTGTTATTAACGGGTTTTCGAGCAGCGTTATATCTTTTTTCAGATTGCAAGCTTAACTGCTCCGGGCATGGCAAATGCAACGACGCGACCAAGCAGTGCGAGTGTGATAACTTTTGGATGGGAAACGTGTTCGCATATGCTTTTTGCAGGCTCAGAAATGAGGGACTGTGGTGAGTGATCGTTATAATTGGAACACTGGTTTTCAAGAAGAAATAAAACTCCGAAATTTGGCTAGTTTTTTAAGCTTTCTGAATCTCATACTATTAGAAATTGAAAAAAAAAAACTTGAAATTTTGTGTTTAGCGTGGTCTTCTGTCTACTTCTGGATGATCTCATCTTCACGTAATTGTACTACTTGCGGCTTGTTTTCTGTCTAGAAGAAGATCAGCCGTATGGAAGTCGAGTTAGCAGGAGGCGATTCAGAAAGCGGAAAAGGTACGCTGTCCACGTTTTTCGTCACATCTAGGTGGGCTTGATTTCCTGTAGCCCCATTTTCGAAATGACTTTTCCTCACAACCGATAGGTTTTCCTTTTATTCGATTCCATTTTTGATCAGCCGCTAATGGTAAAATACCTTTTTTTTGGTATAGGTATAACCCACTTCGAAGCGAATCTGAAGACGTGGAGAAGGAAGCCTATCGCATGAGTAATGCGGTATGTCTATTGTTTCTTGAATGGCATATTTACCTCAGATATTGTTTACTTGCTTGGTTGATCCAAAATTGGAAGAGCTTCCAATTCTTGTCCAGCTGCTTCACAAAAATTGCTGGTCGAGGTGACCATTTGCAGAGATTTCGCTATTAAATAGTTTTGGGTTGCCTGAATAGCGCTAGGCTTATTTCTTTTCGAGTTCCTCTACTGGCAAGTGATATTACCGTAAGCTTATACTAGTCTCTGCTGAATGGAAAGTACGCAACAATTGCGCTAGGGTCTTACAAAGTCAGCATTTGGCGACTAATCTTAGCATTTGGACGAGTTACGTAGCGCACACCCATGACACGCAACGTGGATTACGGCGTAGCGGCTAATTCAAATACGCGCGGGTTAGTTGAGCCGTGGAGCAGGCAAGTTCGTACAACTCGTCCGGCCCCGCCCCTTCCTTTTTCAAAGGGAATTTTGTTTTAGGCTTCATCGACGGTTTTCTTTCTTTTTTTCATTTTTAGTCAATTCGGCATCCACAACTTCATTATCAACCGCTGTGACCCCACAAATTTTATTTGGAGGTGTTGGTTTAACCTGTCAACGTCTGAAATGAAAAGGACGGTCTCAATGACACTTTTTCACCACATTTTCTTTATGACAAAGACCGGTTTCATTGTTTAAATTTTGAAAACTCAACTTATCCACGAATGAACCTGGTTGAGGGGGGGGGGGCATTCCTTCATCTTTTCTATGTTGTATGAGAATAATGGAGTATCGCAACATCCAGTGAGTTAATCATTTTAAAGTGCAGCTATCTGTGAATTTCCGACTGAAGAAATATTCCTCTATCAGTTACAAATTTTTATTCAATTTGTCCATTTCACATCAAGGTAGTGGGTACGCTGGGTTAGAACGCCACTTCGGTTGGTGACGCCGTATAAGGCCGCATCTTTCGCTGGATGTGCTGCTATCTAGCAAGTTATGGCCTGAATGGCTAGCCAAATGAAAGCCCAGCGAACCCGTTGCATTTGAATGTTTTCACTTGCACTCAATAACCTTGGGAAGGGATTTTTGTATTGCTTTGATCATCCGGCTAATTGGATCACTTTCAGGTCCACGGTTAGCACCTCTTCCGATTCCTCATTCTAGTGAATCACTCGATTCGGAGAGTGACGAACTGCTTGCCATTTCGGGCAGCAACCATTCTCTGCAATTAAGGGAACGCTCATCGGAAAAGAGTACGTAATCGAATAGATCTAGTTGTTGGTTCCTAGCGCTTTACCAATTATATTTTATCGATATCGGGCACAACTGTCATTCACTTTTTTTGATAACCAATAATTGCTGCTGTGTATAGTCGCTAACATCAATTTAGAGTGCCCATCGCTTTAGATATATATTTTTCACACGTCTACGTGCATGTAACATCCGGGTCTTAATGTGATATATTGGAAATTTGATTCTGTGAATAAATACTATGATATACATACTACTCAGGTGATAGAGCACACAGTTTACTGATCATGCTGCACTAAGCCATAAACTTTGTTGGTATACTTTTCGCCCTGCTTGGCGGGGATACAGTAATGAACCATTACAGGTAGGTCTACCGGCAGATGAGAACTAGAGTGGCGTGAAAACAGCGAAAGAGGATCCATAAAATGGCATCAGTATCTTCTTTGCATTTTTGTCAAAACCCAAAAGCTTGGTGTGCGTTCCCTCGAAATTTCTCTATTTTTCCAATCCTTTCAAAATCGTTGAAGGTATGGGAAGGTGACAGCAATCAAGAAACATCAAAAATTACGAATTTTCAGTAAATTCCCTGAATGTCGGATTTGGACACATCTTCCGGCCCAAATGGCCCAATTTCACTGAATGCAATCTTCCATCCTCGCTCAAAAAGTGAAGGTGATTCTTGTTGATGCTTAACGCGCGCCGAGTGTTTAACAGTCATCGAATATGACTGCAGCTAATTTTTCACCTAAAGGACGAATTCACGATAAGAACGAAGGTCGAAGAAGTGGAAATGGCCTAGTTGGGAGACAGGCGGACCTCCTGAGGGTGCTGACCAACGCGCAATTGGCAGCGAAAGATTTGACCTCGGCGATCTAGCATGGCTCACTCTTGGCGCGGTTGGCGGGTACGCCCACCGACCATCTAATCACTCGCCGCAGGTCTATACGTGGCGAGTGATTAGATAGCAGAGAGAGCGTAGTGTTGAAGAGGGCACAGCGATGAGAGTCGCATCAATGTCAACGGGCAAGGAAGGGGTCCCATTTCTCGGGTTCTGGGCCGTTTCTCATGGTTTTTCCTTCTTTCGTGTACCACTCACCATCTCTAACTTAATTTGAAATGGGTTGCTTTTTCAGCGTTAATTCGTCCTCTAAAGAGCCGCTAAAGAAGATTCTTTTTTACTGACGACATTGGCAGTGTTAGCGTACAGCAAATGAGAAATTCAGATCAGTGCGCAGAAATGACAGAAAGTGTTAGCGGAAAGCGGGTTCGGGTTGAAAGTAGAGAATACTAATTCCTTAGCTCCGAAGTCAACATTTAGCCAATGTGAAGAAGAAATCAAAAAGTAGAAGACTTTCGATAACATGGAATCGAGCTAGCCGCTGACGGTAGCGTGAACCAGGGTCGGTCCTATCGTTGGTACTTTTGCAAAATTTTTACGACCCCCTCCTTCACGACAGATTTCATACGACCCCCTCACGACCCCCTCTTCACAACAATTTTTCCCTCAAAAAACACCGTCGAGCGGGGGTATATAACTACCATGAAACCGCAAAATTTCCCTATATTTCCCTTT